CTTTTGCAGGAAGGATGCTACATCACAGGGTCCTCGAGAAACTGTCTGGGGGGCGTGAATGAAACTCACAGGCTACCCAGGGCTGCCACACCCAGGGCTGCCAGTCCCAGGTAGGGGGCTTGGGGGAGGAGCAAGCAAGGTGGCAGGTCCTCTGCTCTGGGCCTCACACCTGTGTGTGTACCCGGGTCCAGCAGTCTTGGCGGCTGGCCTCTTCCCCCAACCCCACCTCCAACTTCCTAGGTTAGGATCAGGGAAGGAAAAGGCTGGGGTGAACCAGAAAACGTGGACGTTTCCATGGAAACACTCAACCAACCCCTCTGGAAGTTCTCCCTCCCTGGAATGGGTCAGAGACAACACCACAAAATTTGCATTCGAATTAGCATTCCCAGGAGGAAGTGGAAACAAACTCTGAGACACAGTCTGATTCAAAGCCTCAGTGATCTTCATCATCTCGAATTCCAGAGACCTACCCAAACCCAGCTCCGGGCCATTACCCCTAAGGAATGGAAGTTACCTCGAGTCCCAGCTCGAGTCCCAGCTCGGGGGTGGGTCCCCTCCACCCAGAAACCTGCATCTGTGCAGACTTCACACTCCTCACATTACGCCCACTCCTTAGGCTACTGGAAGCTCCGTCTAGGGCAGTAGGCACCCAGGAGCAAAGCAAGAAGGTACTGAGAACTTAGACAACCTCCCCAAACACAGAACCCTGACTGGAATTGCACCTCCGGCGTGCCAGATCCAGACGCGTGCCCCGCAGACGCCCCCTCTCCTGGAGGCCTGCAGCCTAGGGCCGAGAGAACATGCACCGGCACGGCCCGAAGGGGAGTGAGGGGCCGGGCTGGAGCAGTAGCCCGCCCCCCCCCGGGATGCCGGGGCGCAGGCAGGGTGGTCGTGCATGGGAGCTGCACCTTGTTGGCTTGGGCTGGGAGCACCAACAGACTTCCGACCACGGCCACCAAACACAGGAGCTTCATGCTTCTCAGACTTTCGGGGCCGGCAAGACCGCCCACCTGGAAGAGAAACACTGAGGCGGAGAAGGGGCGGGCGGCCACGCAGCACCCTCGGCCCCGGAGCGAACCGCCCTGCTCGGGCACGGGAAGTGGGTGGGAGCTGGGCCCGGGATCCTGGGCCTTCCAAGCCTCGTCCGCGAAGGCGCTTCCCTCTCCCCCAGGCCTCGATTTCCACAGCCCACCTGGCGCGCCGGGCCGCGGGGGCTCCTGGGCGGGGCCACGGGCCTCGGGACCGCCGGACAAGGCCGGCCAGCGACCCCCATCTCGCGTTCCTCCGCCCTCCCTCATCACCGCCCGCAGCTCCTCCCGCTCGGGCCGAGGAGAACCGGGAGCGCAGAGTCTGGGAGCCCCAAACCCACAGCCAGGCCGCGGGCCCCGTACCCCAGGACCCTCGCGACCCCCGTGACCCCCCGCAGCCCTCCCCCAACGCTCGCCTGCTAACCTGCGAACCCCGCCTCGGCAGCACGGGACCCGGCCGGCCCCGCCCCTCCAGCTTCTATTGGCTGCTGGGGATGTCGCCAAGGCAACAAGGCCCGCCTCCGCAAGGGGGGTGCGAGGCTCCGCGCAAGGGAGAGGGAGGCATTTCTCAACCCTACCAAACAGGAAAAGGGAGCGTCTGCAAGCGAACGAGAAGCTGGGAAGGTGTGGCCTCCTTGCGGCCGCAGAATTCCACCGCCGAGCTCCCTCCTCCCTGTATTCAAAACCCAGGGTTTCGGAGCGGGCCTAAGCTGTTCAGTCTTGCCGTTTTATAGAGAAATCACTTGATAAACAATAAGCTAGTAACAACAATAACGATAAAAGCAGATCCAAGGGCTCAGTCCTCATCCACAGTTTGGAGATGTTATCTGAGTCGCATCTTTGCTGCAGAGGGGCGGCCTCACCTCTCCTCCCCCTCCCCGGCAGGAGGAGGAAGCGGGGCGGCGAGGGGCGGCGAGGGGCGGCGAGGGGCGGCGAGGGGCGGCGAGGGGCGGGCTGGGCCCGTGAAGGGTGCGCCCCGCAGCTCCCAGCCTGGTCCCCTGGTGCTGGTTCTGGACCCGGCAGATGGGGGCGGGATATGCGGGGGGCGGGGGAGGTCCGGGCCGCTGAGGGGCAGGGGTGAACTCGGTCCAGCTGCAAAGGAAAGAGAGAGGAGTCGTCCGAGTCTAGGGCACCGACCCTGGTGAAGACACCTGGGCTTTGGTCGCGCTCTGCCACTAAGCAGTGGTGGTGTTACCTGGAAGACACCTCCCCTCTCCCGCCTCTGCTTCCTTGTCTGAAAGGAGTTGGTTGGATGCAAAGACCCTTCAGTCGATATTTTGGGATTCCGTTGGGGGGGGCGGGGCTTGACGTGGCCCGCCCCTCCCCGCAGGTACCGTGGATTGTGGTGGGCACTTCCTGTGGGGATCGTTGGGTTTGTGTTGGTCCCTTCTACTGATATGTATCCCTCCCTGTATCCCCTCCACCTGCAGAGTCCCTGTTTGCTGAATTGGGTAGATTTAAAATCCGCCAGCCGGAGGACCGGCAGGAGGCACCACAGTGGCACACAGAGCTTGTGGGCTTTGGCCCTAGGCCAACCAGGGCACCAATCCTGGTTCCTCTCGTAGTAGTTGTGAGAATTGGGGTGGTTGGCTTATCCTTTAGAGAGCCTCGGTTTCCACATCCATAAAATGGGGATAATACAACCTACTTTCAGGATATAACGAGTCTATATGTGCAAAGCACCTGGAACAGTGGGGGCTCTGTCAATGGAGACCGTAGCTCATTCTGGAGGTCAGAGTGGCTGCTTTGGGGAACAGGCTGGGACAGAGAGAGGATGCCTGTCCCGTGGGGGCAGAAGGGACAGTTCAGGCACTGGAAAGACACCCTCCCTCCCCCCCATACACCTCGTATGTGGCGGTGGAGACCTTCTTGGGGACAAAAGCAGAGGGCCGAGTCGGTCACCTCCAGCGCATGGTCCTCTGACACCCGACACTAAAGGTACACAGTGCTGGTCTCACCATCTTTTTTTTTTTTTTTTTTTTTTTTTTTTT